AGACTCTTTTACCTGTCATATACATATGGTCAGTCATAGATTATCATACACTCCACCTAGTATTGTTCAAGGAATCAGTTACCTAGTCTAGAAATTATATAAAATGAGCCCATGAACATCATTCTCGGTGTCCCTAAAACAGAGAGAATTGTGAATATGAAAACAGGATTGAATTTACCTTATGATTACGAAAGAATATTATACATAAATACCACATTTAGTGTCAAATCAATTAGTGAACTCCTCTATAGTACAGAGTTCAAAAGACTACTACAGCATAGAATAGTGAAACCAACTTTGAATGACAACACCGATTCATACTCAAATCCGAGGCTACAAATAACATGACAACACTTATCCCAGCTGAACATACCCGTAAGTAAGAAACTACATGGACGTTCTGTTCTCCCGAGAAAAATGTCGGAACTAAGTGTATTTTATGCGACTGCCTCTAAAGAAAACCTTGTTATACTGAAGCATTACGCACTAGAAATTAACAATGAGCTTCTTGAAATTCTCACTAATGCATATGGATGCTACACTGACGGATCCTTGCAGTCTGTGAGCCAAGCAAGGTGAGCTTTTGCTGTATATAAAACACAATATTTTGCAGCATCAGGATTGTAAGAGGGTTCATGACTGGGCTAGTACTATGCTCTAGAACACTCTAGAAAGAGATGTGGCGGAAATATTGCAAATGAGATCAGGGTAAACGTGTATCGTGTAAAAGATCGAGGCCATGATATGCGTTTTGTGTGGATTCCATCGCATGTTGGAATCCCACTGCATGATCATGCTGGTCGCCTAGCAAAATCATCACGTGGCAAGCATAGTGTGGAAACAGATCTTCCGAGTGCCTCTTGTTAGGATTTCACACATCATTAAACTTCCTTCAAAGAGGATTTGACTGAGTTGACTAATTCTCAACGGCCTGAAAGCTGTGGCATGACCGGTTTACGCATGGTTTATATTAAACTAGAACAAGACAGTGTGATACTGTGACACAAGAACCAGGCTTGGATATAGATTGTATTGGCAGGTCAGTAGAGTTTGTAATGTCGAAGAAACAAAGTGTACACTGTGCAATAGAGAAAATAAGCGAACACTTGTACATCATATCTCAGAGAGTCATATATTAGTCTTTTAAACCATCTAGCATAAGGTACGCAGAACTATGTTACCTATATAAGCCCTCTGCTATCTTAGAAGATATACTTGTGCTGTAACCTAAATTTAGAATGTTGCATCACATGATCACACATCAAATGTAACAATGTCTTTCCTTTCCAAGCTGTGGTAAATACGCAGATAAAAGACTATGTTATTATTCTTTTCTTTTAACTGATATGGTACAGCTCATAATACTGTTATAGCAAAAATTATCAATGTAATGCTATTACATAATGCAATGACCATTCATAAATGTATCACAGCTTGCCTACGCCTGTGCAGTTAGCCAGGGTGGTAAATAAAGGACTAAACTAAAAACCTAAAATATGACAGTTAGTTTTCAACATTTTAAGACTACGCATTAATTTTGGAACAGACTCTACCTCCATTTCTCTCTCTTGGGTCTCCATAAACCTGTCGTCTGTTTACGTCTGATTAACGAAAACCAGTCATCTGAACACAACAACTTACAACTGAACAGACCTAAACGCCTAAAACTTAAAACTGAAGACCTAAACACCCAAAACTTAAAACTGAACAGACCTAAACGCCTAAAACCTAAAGTTGAACAGACCTAAACACCTAAACCTTAAATTTGAAGACCTAAACACCTAAAACCCCAAATTGAACAGACCTAAACACCTAAAACCCCAAATTGAACAGACCTAAACACCTAAAACCCAAAATTAAACAGACCTAAACGCCTAAAACCTAAAATTGAACACCTAAAGTGAAGGGGTGAAAGGCGTCACGACCCCATCCCATTTATCAAGAGACAAAGCCTGTTAAATAATACGACGGTGATATTTTATAATGTTGCAGAATTTTCACACGCAAGTGCATATACCTAGCAAAGTAATATATAAATAGATAGATAAATCAATCACTAAATAAACATATCAGTAAAAAATATGATCAAAATGCGAGAAATAAACAATAAAAAAGCGTAAAAGGAGATGTTGATGACCTAGTACTAAAATGCCACCATATTTCATTAATCACAGTACAGTGGATGCCTGAGCTCAAGTACTCAGGATAATAACTAAAATAATGAAAATGAATCAATAAATAAAACGTCAACAAACAGCCTGAAACTGCTTTTTCCTTCCACTTTTAAGAAGCACTTTAACAGTCCCTCATAAAAGATAATAATAATAATAATAATAATAATAATAATAATAAGAAAAGTTTGTTTGCGCCTTAACCCATCGATTACATAAATACACATACATGGATATATTTTTTCGCTTTTTTTTAGTTAAATAGATTGACAATAGTTTATATCAATGCTTCTTGACATGTATAAAAAAACACTCTCTAATCGACCACC